AGGAGCAGTTCATCTGCTCCCGTAGAAGATTAACTGATGGATTGGAGTTCAACTTGGGCCGAGTTTAGTTTTAAACTTTTTTTTCAAACTTTCAACTTTTCTATCACATCAAAACTTTCCTACACACATAAACTTTCAATTTTTTCATCACATCGTTCCAATTTCAACCAAACTTACAATTTTAGCCTTGATTTCGCAAGTCACTGTTGCCAACACGTACGGTCATATGTAGTAGAATTTTCAGCTTTAGTTAGCCGCCACCTCAGCATCATATCGTCTCGAGTCAATTTTTGCCTGCTTGCTACTAGCTTGCTGATGCTTCTGAACTTCACTGTCCTTCAGTGAATCAGTACAGACAAGTACAACAAACTGCAGGTTCAAGTAGAAAGAGAGCATCGAGGAAAAGTACAACGTTTTGCTCCTTCGTCTGATGATACTCAGCTAATCATATCGGTCAGAGATAAAAGTCTGCTAATGCAAGTTGGTTTTGGGCCGCATGCATGATGGAGAAGTCCATTGACAAGTATGCACTCTTCAGAAACTGATCCATGCATCCTATAATTGCAAGAAGAAGAAAAAAAATCAAGGATAGGACATTTCATTAATTAATGAAATACATAGGAGTAAGTCTATGATCACTCAACCAAGGATGCACACATAAAAAAAAAACTAATGCAACATGCAGCAATTTGCTCTCATGATCAAACACAATGTTCAAGATGACGTTTGTGTTCGCCGATATAAACCGATCCAACCAAATCAATCACAATCAGTGGCGGATTTTCACCACTTTCAACCGAGACAACTCTAAGACAACACTTTCAACAAAAAAATTGACAAATAAATGATGATATTATCAAATCTAGATAAACCCTAATAGAGTTTTCACTGCAAAGATTCTCCGCAAAATAGAGAATGACAGCTATTAGTTGGCTATACTATTAAACTTGCTCCAAGAGAATTTCTCTTGGGACAGTCCCACGACGGTCCGGGGAAAAACATACAACCTTATTTTACTGACATTTTGGTTAGTACTTAGTAATTAATGAACGCACAGCTCAATATTTAATTAAGTTTTGAAGTGTTTTGCATGGCAAATCTAACATTGCAAATTTTACTTGTCATCACCAAATTATTTAGAAAAAGAATTGTGATCAAAGCTGACACAACAAAGATGATATATAGGAAGTATGCATGATACTCCAAAAGTTTAAGACCGAAAGTTACTTCTACTATCTTAAAAGTTCTCAAAGTGGTCAGTGGCTCTGTGCTAATCCTCCTGGGAAAAAGGCTGCTAATGGGAGACGGTTTCGTGCTGCTAGCATGAAAGCTCCAAAAGTCTAGTGACAAGTACACTTGAGAATCTGGTGCCATCCACTGATAATTACAAGCTCATATAAAGATGAATCCATGATTTTCAACTTTAGTTACACATAAGCTTGCACTCAACCAGGATTAACTTATTAACCGCATACACAATGCAACAAACTGATGGCTCCAACTGTGTGTTGGACCGGAGCCATTTGTCTGTCTGTTGCTGAAGCAGAGTGAAGCTGGGGATAAGTGTTTACACAGACAGTAACTTGCTGAAGCTGCAAACTGTTCTGGACCGTAGGAACCATTGCGTGTGGTGTGGTTTTGTCTCCCCTGTTCGTGCATGTTGTGGTAATATTTTGCTGAACGGATTGATACTCAAGCAAGTTGCAATGGATGTGTGTATATATATGCTTATTTAATTTTAAGCTAAATGTATCTTATCTACACCTTATGGATCTATCGTGTTGTGGCACTTTGAAGGAGCTCCCATGTTAATCATATGGATCATAGTAATATTAATATGACAGTAGAACGTGTTGGAAGTCCATGTCAAATATATATATTTTTCTCTTTTTAGTTTTAGTTTTCCAAAATTATTAATTCCAACATTCAAAATTAATAAATACAAAGTTATGAAGTAGATATGCACCATCATAGGATCATATTATTATTACGACCATAGATTGTGTTGGGAGTTCATGCTAAAGAAACATGGAATTTAAGAAATTATTTTTCCCTTAGTTTTAGTTTTTCAAAAGCTAATAGTTCCAACATTCAAAATTAATAAATACGAAGTTATAACCATCATAATTAAACTCTCAATTTAGTATTTTACTAATTTAATTGAAAATTTGAAATTAATAACTTAAGTAGGGATGATTCAAAAATTAATAACCAACATGTTATCATGCTTTCCAAATTTTAATATTTATATAAATAACAACAATAATAACCGTTGGAAAACATGGGTTGCCTGTTAGTATATGTGACTGGAATGTGGACAAGTGCATGTATGAATTCATTTATCCTATAACACTATCTGAAAAAGGAAGTAAAAGTCTTTTTTCTCTTCCCTAAATTCTTGATTGATTTAGTCTTTTTCTTTTAATTGTAGTTTGGTAAAATTCGTTCCTCATTTATCTAAACTAGGTAAAACAACCACTTTGATATATTTGAGAGTAGTTTTAACTAAAATAGGTGAGACCCTTCTTGTCATAGAGGGTAGCAGTGCCTCATCAATGGCCCACAATTCTCTAAGGCCAAATAGCTGTGCCTCATCAAGACCCCACAATTATCTAAGACCTACTTTGATCTGAAGTAAAAACAAAGTAGTTTATAGGATTTCGATCCTATAGGAATCCCCCTCCCCTAAATGACACACTTTGAACATAGGATTGAACAACATAGAACCCTATTGGATGTTTCAATCCATACAAATTTTGGAGGAAATTTCAATGAGATCAAACAACATCGTGAAATATTTCATGTGGCTAACCAAACGGTTGGCCATTTATTTATATAATCATCTGTTTTACACTTTCACCTCTTTCAAAATCATGCATGTATTTCTAATATTCTTGTGCTCTCAATCATGTGTTTCAAATGAGTCCTAAGTCATCTTTTATGATCATGTGGGCCTACTTTTTATTCTCTAGTGCTCATTCCTCTTTGATATAAGAAGACCTCAACACCTACATACATGGTTCAAAAACCATTGCCAAATGCAATCAAGGGTCATGTTTTGCTGATTTTGAGAGTAGATGACTATATTGGTTTTGGTTTTGTAGTTAAGAGGCAAAATTATACCAAATCAAGAGTTAACGGATGAAAAGTACATTTTTCCCAACAAAATAAAAGAAAAGCAAAACATAGGTCATGGACTATGTTTGAACCTGCTGGGTGCAATGCAAGCAGTAGTTGTACTGTAGTGTGGTAGCACACATTCTTGCAGGTTTTTACTCCAAAGTCTCCAGGTTTAGTTGGATCACTGTGGACAAATGGACAATGGCTTGGAATTAGGAAGCATGTCCTGATTTTTGTTGCGTTTCAGTGAATTGATGGAGTCCGTGTCCAGGTCCCTTTCACTCACCCACCACTTCTTTGATGAAACTTTCAGTGGGTATCACAATATTAAATTCACTTGGTAATAGGTAGGAGTATGACTCTAAAGTCTACATTTGAGATACCAAGGTCAGAGAAGAAGTGGAATAAGAAGAAAAAGATGCACACATAAAGCTTTAAACTATGGTGGGCATTTGAACTCATCCTCCTGATACAAGAATTAATTAAATTATATTAATTTGAGAGGAGAGGAATGAAAATATTGAGAAGATACGAAAAACAAGATGAACCATTAGTGTATGATTAATTAAGTATTAATTCTTTTAAACTTGAAAAATATAGTAATATGATTTTTAAAATAACTTTTCTATAGAACTTTTGAATAAAAAAAATCTCCGTTTAATATTTTGGGAAACGTGCGTATGTAAAACACTAAAACGAGTTAGTTTTTCTCTCTTTGCGCACTGCCGAATGCAAGTGTACGGACCACATCATGGCTGGGCATATGGCAGAGGCTTGTTATTCACAAAAGGAGCTAAGCTGACTCATTTTCCCATTTAGAGATTTGAATGCTCATAATATTTGTTTTACTATTTGTTAGGAGGCATATCATGTGCAGAGGACACAACTGTTGCAAACTCAATTTTCATTAATTAGCTAGTTTTCTAAAATTTATGAAAATTCATCAATGATGGAGACATGTTTTAAATGTTACTACAAAATTTGAATACTGGATTCAAGGGATTTGGAATGATATCAAAGTTTTTTCTTTAGGGTTTACTGATGTTTGTCTTGATTTGAAAATTCTTTCCCGATAAATCATTTTTTTCTTTAGGGTTTACTGACCAGGAGATATAAAGTACTGTTTACAATCATTAGTTCATCGTCTACCCTTCGAGCTCCAAGCCGGTTTGTTTGCCGATATAGCCTTTTTATGGGACTACACACTGGGCCCACCTATAGGGACTCAATGTTTTCACCATGATAATGAAAAAAACAAGACCTTTAGTTATAGGCTATTTTGTCACATTAATGCAACGAGAATATATAATAAATGCGATGGACAAACGCAACAGTTGGTGCACCACATTAGACAAGGCATAACATCCTGGTTCCCAACCTCATTCGCTCATTTTCTGCGCGCACGCTTTTTAAACTACTAAACGGTGCATTTTTTGCAAAAAGTTTCTATACGAAAGTTGCTTAAAAAAGTTGCACGATTTAAGTAGGGACCCTCTTGATCAGGATGTTAACAGATGTCAGGATGTTAATAGATGGTCGGATGAATTTTTAGCTATATGCTGCTAAGGAGTAACACACAACATCTCAATGTTTAGTGTGCTATTACTGCTCAGTTTGTGGTGGTGCAGAGAGGTGGCATTGTACTATTGGAGGCATGGGGTGCTAGAAGACAGAACATGGGAAGAGATCCATTGGAATTGGTCTGGACGTTGGTTAGGAAAGAGATACGCAGAGTGAAAGAAAATCCAACATCTATACTAATATAAAAAGGAGGAGTTCACTCCTTACAATCCAACAGGCCAAATCAAATCCAACGGGTGAAATCCATAGGTTAAATCTAAGATTCATCCAACGGCTAAAGATAAAAGTGGACAGCTGTGTCCCTCCCAATCCCCATCCCCACCAACCTAACACGCGCCTTCATCGCCTCCGCCGTCGTGCGCCATCCATGTCCTACGATATCCGCTGCGCTATCCACGCCTGTTTCTCTCCCTGCAATTGATGTGCAGCTCACATCAACGGGAGCCATCCCTCAATTGCCTCCTCACCCGCATCGCACATCGAGGGGCGGGGGCGAGATCGCTCCCCTCAATCGCTTCCTCGCCCGCATCGCACATCGAGGTCTCCTCACCCGCATCTCACATCGAGGCCTCCTCACCCGCATCGCAGATCCATCACATCCTCCTGCTGCTGCTGGTGCTGATATATCCTCTCCTCCTCCTCCCTTATGTGCCTTTGATGTGAGCTCTCTTCTTCCTCCCTAACCGGCCACGGCAGCACTGAATCTGAGGCATCGGACCAAGCCATGCAAAGGCGGAGGGTCCAGATCTAGCCACCAGCACCACCGCCAGTCTTGGCCTCGATGATGACACCGGAGAGGGGAGCAGTTGAGGAGGGGAGAGGGTGGGGATGGCTGCATGGACAACAACATTGGCGACAGAGGTTTGGCCCAAGTCCTGTTGAGCCTCCTATATCAGAATGCCTGCTAAGATATTGCTAGGATTTAGTTTACAGCTGTGCAAAATGATAAATGTTAATTCCTTGGGTGATGATCGTCTCAAGTCTCAACATAATGATATTTGTTTTACCGAGGTATGACTTCTGGTGATAAGGTATGGCCCATTGTCCAGTGATTTTCTGCTTAATTTATATGTTACTAAGAATGAGGTCCGGCGCAATTAGAATTCATGCTGCGTTGTGTCACGACTATGCTAAATTATATATTTTTCATAGATGATGCCTGTTATGAGCATAAATCATACTGTCATTTTCTCAAGAGATCCAATCATCATGTTTCCTTCTTTTTTTCAGGACTTCCATATAATGAATTCAGTATTGTTCAGTGGAACAGCCAAGAAGATATAATTATGGATGAATTCAGTATTGTTCAGTGGAACAGCCAAGAAGATACAATTATGGATCATTGGGGTCATATTCTTGCATGTGTTCTGCAGTTACATTATGTATAACAAAAACACTGCAACATGGTTCAGATGGATATACATGCTCGCCGGTTGCGATCCCTTGATCAGTAGTAGCTTGAATAATTGACTCTTGAACGTTCCATTTTTCTTTTCAGGTGACATAAGAGGTTCTGCTCCTATAGGTTGATTCCTTGGTGGATGAGAATGAAGAAAGTTTCTTGGGAGTTGGTAGATGGCAATGTGAATGCAGTGACATGACTGACATCCATGTGTTGGCTTCAGTAGTTAGGACGAACCAAAGAAGCAAAGGAGGCTCTAAGTCCTAAGCTCATGATGCATATTTTTTAGGTACTCCTTCGTGTCTCAGTCAGAGCTCTAAGCATATTTTTTTCTCCTGTGAACCAAGTTGACCTCTTAGTCATTAGTTTTTTTCTTACCGTGAATACATGTGCTTCAGTCTAATAGTTTGTTGCTTTCAAAATGAACAGATCAGTATTTATTTTGGTATTATACTTGTAACATTTGCATTTGATTTTACTGTCACTCCGTGAGGGTAGAAACATCACTTTCTACTGCAGTTTCTTGACTTTCATGCATGGACATGCAGTTAAACATAGGTGTCTGACACGTCGAGATGTACTTCTTCGGGCTGGCACTTTACAATTTTGTATTATATGAATATATAAACAATTCAATTGTGCATGCACTCAGTGGTTGATAGAAAATTGGCTTCAATATATTTAGTTTCGTCAGTAAGATATTGTGATCTAACTCAGTTCTTTTCCATGGCTGACACTATGGCTGATACCGTTGATTCTTAATTTTCAGTTTGGACATTGAAGGAATGTATGCATATATTATACATTTTCTCTTCAAAATCGCTTGATTAGAAGAGGGTTTGTTTCTCTATATATAATCTAAATGGATTCATGTGCACCTCTGCAGTGCTCAGGTATGTTGAGGAGAGGAGGGTATATAATTGTGGAGTTGAAAACTTTATATGGCCAAGTGACATGAGAGTGCTACGCATGTCTTCTTTCACATGGTATTTACACCTTATAGGGCAGCTGCGGCAGCAGCCATCGCTGCCGATCAAGGCCATAATGTTTTGCTTATCCTTATATCAGATGCAAAACGGGGGGTGATTGATTGTATAGTATTGAGGTATTCATCCCTGGACATAAGTGACAGTCTGACATGTTGATCAACTTAATTGGATTATTGTTTTTAATCTCCAGGTTGCATATTGTTACGGTGAGAGTATGGTCCTATAGTTGCTTATTTTAGACCAAATTAGTTGCAAAAGTTTAACTTGTGATGGCACATGTAAAACTTTGTTATAAATGTAGTGAGAAGTGAAACTTTAGTATTTTTATTTATTTTGTTTGAAATGGCAGTGGATAACAAAAGGGACCACATATGGCTCTTACTTATTTGTCACTTAAGTTTCGTGTTAACATCAGTGGTTTAGAATAAATTTATTGTTTTTCAATTATTAATAGAATTGGACCAATAATTTTAACATAACGTGCATTGCACGTGCACGATTACTAGTATGAAACAAAAAATAGAGTCGCTATGTGACGAGCGGTTTGATGGTAGGGGCTATAAGCAGCGAAGTATCTGAAGGCTCGACATAAGTCCACTAGGGAAGAAACGAATACCGGTCAAAACCTCTCTTTAGTAAATCAAGACTAAAGATCTCGATCTTAACTGGTACTAAAGTCAAAAGATGTATACTAAGTCTAAAAAATATGTGGGATATGAGATTCATACTTAAGATCTCTCATCTCAGCTCTCACGCGCTTTACCATCTGTCCATCTCACATACTAAACATATCTGACTTGAATAGAAATGCTTTCTTTTTAACTAATCCTAAAGGCATCTTTAATAATGGTTGATAACATCAACCAGTACTTAAAAATATCTTTAGTATGGGTCGTCGGTGTTACCAACCGGTACTAAAAATGCATCTCCAACTAGGAGTAAAGATCATGAGTTTTGATTGATGTTACCAATTTTTAAGTACCGGTTACTAATATCAACCAGGATTGAAGATATTTCTAAAGACTTGGACTTTTAGAACATGTATTAAAGTATTTTTAGTACCAGTTCTTAATCTAGCCGGGATATTTGTGTTTCGGGGCTCAGGATAAAATATCGTTTCTATCATCATTTTCATATCATAATTATATTTTATCAACTTCTAACACTTTGCCGTGTTTCAAGTTTTCACACATGACATGATTTACTACTTCTAGTCAATATTGCTATGTTTCTTATTTATTTTTTCAACATTCGAAATTGCCGTGTTTCCCCTCTTAATAATATGTCTTTTTGCAACATTCCGATATCATAATTGTTTTGAGGTATACCGTTTCTGTCTGCCCTGTTTCAAGGAAAAAAAGTAATAGTTTACAAAGCAAGTGAGACAATTTAATCTGCAATTTTGCTATATATTTATAGACAATCTTTCTTCTAAAAATTGACAAATATAATTATAGTGTAATTATATTGTAACCTGCATATAACTATAATGTAACTTATATGTAAATTTTATATAATTTTGAAATGTTATATTTGTTTCAAGATTCGTATAAGTGGGAAGGAAAAAAATCACAGTGCACGCATATGTAATCGAGAGGATTCGATCCCACGACCTATATTTCACGAAAATAGTATGATACAGAGCAATTTTGAAAGTTTATACATGTTATATTATAATTACATGTTAGTTTTAGTTATAGTGTAATTATATCACGATTATATTATAATCACATACGTCAAACTTTTAAGAAGAAAATTCGTCCATCTAATTTAAATTCCCACATCCTTCGTGCAGAGTCAAACGCGATTTCCTATGATTTCGGACATTTTTCGCACAAATTCAAACAAACCGTTCCCTATCGATTCCGACGTTTTTTCACCTCTTCCTAGTCCCCCACCCACCCACCCCGCACGCGCCCGCCACCACACCACCAACCCACGCCACATATCCACCTCACCCCGCCTCTCTTTCTCATTTCATAAACCCCAAAAAAGAAAAAGAAAAAAACAACCCCCACGTAGAGAAAACCACCCGCGCCCGCGCGCGAGTTGATAAAAAGCGCGCGCCTCGCCTCGCCTCTTCCACTCTCTCCACCACTCCCACCCCCGCGCCGCCCCGGCCGCCGCCGCCGCCGCCGCTCGCCGGCGCCATCACTACCACATGACACGCGCGCTTCGTCTCACTCTCACCTAGCTACAGCTTCTCGTCATCAGCTCGCCGGCGCGGCGCGACGCGGCGGCGAAACTGAGAGAGAGAGAGAGAGATATGGAGAGCGCGATGGAGAAGGTGTGGGAGTCGGGGAGGCGGATGAGCCGGAGCATCGGGAGGGGGATGGGGATGGAGGCGTGGGGCGTCGACGAGGCCTTCATGCCGCAGAACTCCGGCGGCGGCGGGGGCAGCAGGGGGAGGAGGAGGAGCGGCCGCGGCGGCACCGCCGACGACGACGAGGAGGCGCTCCGGTGGGCCGCCATCGAGCGCCTCCCCACCTACAGCCGCATGCGCACCGCCATCCTCTCCTCCGCCGAAGAAGAGGCCGCCGCCGCCGCCGCCGGAGCAGGCAAGCAGCAGTACAAGGAGGTGGACGTCCGGCGGCTCGGCGTCGGCGAGAGGCAGGAGTTCATCGAGCGCGTCTTCCGCGTCGCCGAGGAGGACAACCAGCGATTCCTCCAGAAGCTACGCAACCGGATCGACAGGTACGCTAATTATTATTAACGCATATGTAGTAATTAATTAATCATCTCCAACGGATTAATTAATCTGATAATCTCATATCATCCATACATGCATCATGCATGCTGCTGTAAGGTACTCTCCCGTTTCACGAAAAACGAATCTATGACTAGATATGACACATTTTAGTATAACGTATTAAAATATATCACATGCAGTATATTATGTTAGCTTTTTATAGTACGGAGGGGTACAATCTCAAACCTAATTAAGCTAGCTACTTAATCGATTTTGTAAAAAGAAAAATCTTTGAAATATGAAAAAGAAATTACTCTTTTTTTTAATATATGACGCCGTTTATCTTTTAAAATACGTTTGGCAGTTCATTTTATTTAAAAAATATATGTAATCAACAACGTCTATATTAAAAAACAGAGGTAATCCTCTATTACATAGGAGTACAGCTTGTGCAGCTTTGAAGTGAATTTTTCTTGACTACTAGTCAAACAATGATGGTCCGAGTCCAAGGCAGCTCAGCTCGAGGGGACAAAAAGGGTTTACTTTTTAATAATAGAAAAATTAATTAATCCATCTTCTACAATCTACATAAGAGGAAGTACCAATTAAACGTATATTTTTAGGACAAATACGCATGTAGGTATAAAGTTATGATACGTAGCTATACGAGTACACATGGGTTGTTGCATGATTTATACAGGTAGTTGGCTTTTCTTCCACACAAAAGCTTTGCACCCTTTTTCTATGGCCGAAATTGAGCCAACCATATCTTCACCATATTGCAAGCCAAGATATATAGGCATGCGTTTGGAAAGATACATTTGAACACCCAAAATCTCGAAGAAAAAGAACATATTCAATTTCAGCCAGACAACTAGCCGGCCGGCCGGCGCCTCCTTTTGTTTTATCTTTAATTTTTCTGATGCAGCAAGACGAATATAATCTTCAATTCAGACTACTGCTTTTTCTTGCACTTTGCGACTCACAGATGCTGGGAGGGTTAGTTGGGATAGCTCCATTAAACGGTCTAATTACATCGTATTAGGAATAAATGCATACATAATTGTGGTTGGGACTTGAGAGAGTTGCTACTAGGAGTAGGAATAAGCTAATTTAGAAGGCAATACACCAAGAAGCAGAGAGCGATTGATTGATTTGATGGAATGAAGGGCGCAGGAGCAGCTGGGCAGCAGCAGATGATGATCCTACTACCTTTTTCAATTATTAATTTTCATGTCTTTCTTAATAATCAACATGTTTGGTTTCTGTTTCTGCCTGCAAAACAAAATCATGAAAAGATGAGAAATTATATGATGAAGAAGAAAAACAGCATGTGCTGGATATTATGGTTAATGAAGTCAGCTGACGTGTGCATGATATCAGCACCAGTGTGTGCCCTCTTTTTCCTTTCCCAATTCCCTTTTTTGTGACTGTTTTCGGCCTCCAACATGATGGGTGCATGGCTCCTTTTGGAACACTAGTAGGTTCACTTAAATCAAATTGATTTTTTATTTTACTTTTGCTATTATTATTCGCCTGATTTTTCTTGCACAATTAAGAAAGCTGCAAACTTAATATGAACTCATTGTAACTTTGATTTGATTATTATTTCCCAAATTAATGAACCTATATACAATTTGTGGCTAACTTTAGTATACTTTTGACTTTCATATTGGCAACCGTGCATATCAAAGTACAAATTTTTAGGTTGAAGTTTGAAATTGCTTGCTTTACACTTTTACTTCCACGAGGAAAGAAAAAAAAAGGCATATTCATGTTATTTGTTGGATATTAATTCAGTAGTTGAAAAAGGAATTCAATAGATCATGAGGAGAGAAAAAAATCAGTCAGTTGACAAATAGATAGCCCGGTGATGTGTGTGCATATTAGTATCACTGGTAGTTAATTAGTTATTACATGCCTTTTAATATTTACTGGTTACACATACTTCCTCCGTTTCACAATGTAATACTTTCTAGCATTACACATATTTATATTCATATATATGCTAATGAACATCTATATAAATGTGGACAATGCTAAAAGTCTTAAATTGTGCAACGGAGAAAGTATGTATTAATTTCAGTTTTAGCACACATTCTTTAGTTTATCAGTTACAGATACGATGGCACTATACAAGCAGTTAGATTGAGTAATATAATTTTAATTTCTTGACCAAAAGTGCCATTTTATGTGGGGTAGGAGAGCAACTAGCTTTCACATATGTGTATGATCCTCCTTTTTATGCACTTCCAAATGAACACAATCTTCCTGTCGCTGGTCCCTGGCAGTAGGTTTGCTGAAACTAAAGTTGACACCCAAACTAACATTGCAACTGATCCCCTTGCGTGCTCCAAATGGAATGAGTCAATGCCAATCATGGTAGCATCAACCGTAACACACACCAACCATTTCCGTTTAGCCAGTGACATATCTCCGTTGACCAATCAGATAAAAATATTATTTTCTTGACCTAAACTACTTTTTAGGTAGAGGACACAATGATTTGGACTAAACTTCGGTGGTAAATATACTAAAATATGAAAAACAGTTATTTAATACATATATACGTGGATACCCTTCCAGAGACTATAGCAACGTTAGAGATTTATCATGCCTATGTGCTGTAATAGGATTT